AAGAAAAGATAACAAATTGTTAGTTTAAAGTTAAAATAAACAGATATTTGAAACATTGTAATACAAATTTATGAGTTAAACTGATTAAGAAGTGAGGTGGTAAAGGATTTAGATTGTATTGATTAAAGATAGTATAGCAATTGATTTCAAATTTACAAAATGTTGCAACATAAGCTAAAATTAGTTGCAATATATGTTGCAACATTATAAGTTGCAACATATATAGGTTAAAACTAATTGCAACGTAAGTTGCAACATTAAAAGTTGCAACATATTAATTACAGTTCTCATCTTTAGTAATGATCAAAAATATTAAGGTTATATAACTTGTCATTATATAGAAGAGCAAAGAGGAGCATAGAAGTAAACTTTAATTTTTTTTGAAAAGTAATCTGATAAATCCAAAAAATTGATTACATTCATTCTTTAAAAGAGGTATGCATTGGAGTCTATATTCTAGAATAAGACATAGGATCATATTTACAATAAGGGAGGTAAGGCGGTCAGTAGAAAAGGGGGAAATCCAAAATTTTTGTTAATTTTTATTATTAAGTCAAATTTGTACATATGATTGAGATTAGCCAAGTGGTCTAATAATATAAATTTTGATCAAAATTTAGATTTTTTCTTTTTTTACTAACCGCCTCCCACATATGCAATTTGTTTGTCTATGAGAGATTTGAATCTAATAGTAAACACGAAATTATTAATATCTTTCATGCTTGTGATTTAATAAATGTTAGTGATTTTGAAGAATTTATCTAAACTCTGAGGAATCTGACAGAAGTTTTTTCAGAAATAATGTTTACTTGTAATGAGCTAAAATTCAAATTAATAGATGGTGACATGAAAATTTTTATAGTAATAAACTTTAATTTAGATTTATTGAAGGCTGCTCTTATAAGATTATAAAAATCATCAGCTATTAAGAGAATATTTTCTAAATTTTGTTAATTATCAGAAATCCAATTCGTGTCATTCATAAAGACTAATAAAGAAATTGATTCTGAAATAGTTGAAGTTGTATGATTGATTATATTATCTGTTCAAGTGTGATCTATAATGTAATCTAAAAATAGTTCCTATAATTATTTTTAAATTTTAATTAAGTTGCAACTTAATTAAGCCATAAAGAAATTTAATTATACCACAAGTTACAACTCAATTGCGCTATTTTTTTAATTATAGTATCTAAGGTTGTTAGACGAAATTAAGAGTTTAGACAGACGTCTAAATGGTAAAAGTAAAACTTAGTTAAATTATATTAAAACCTTATTAAAAAATCTGTGAAATTCAGAAAAAGGTAAAACTATATTAAAGCTTATAAAAATGGTGAAACTATACTATATCAAACACTTAGTAAAAATTTAGCAAAATTAAAGGTTTAACCGTTTTGCCAAATCCAAAATGAGTTTAGACAAGCAACCTTAATAGTATCTATTTTTAGTATAATCTTTTTAAGAGGATCTACTTCACATAAAGTGGGTTTAAATAAATATACCAGAGCAAAGAAAAAATGACTTCTTCTTGATTAATACCAATTTTTATATCATAGTAATCAGTTAGATCAGTTGCAGTAAAGATAGCATTTTTTCTATTAGTGAAAAGGTTGATAATCAGTTCTATACATTTAGTTAGAATTTTGATGCATTGTAATACGAGACAAAGCTATTTTAAATCAACTTAATTATAAACTTTAGACAGATCTTGCAACAATATTTAAAGTTCTTTTTTGTTTTTATTAACATCCTTTAAGAGCATATTAAGAATTTTAATAGGCTTTTAGTAGAATTATCAGGTAAACCAGCAAAATTATTACCTTTAAATACATGATGTTTAGCAAGTAATTTGGAGAGTCAATTTGTAATGATTTTCACAAATGCTTTTCTAAAGGTTTTAAATAGAGTAATAGATCTCATTTTTGTAATGTTACATTCTCAGTCCATAAGCTTTAGAATTGGATACACATATGCAATTTTTCATTCATTTGGTATATCTCTAATAGTGAAACAAATACAAATTAGTTATCAAACTAAATATTTAAGTTTGGTATCTAAGTGTTGAAACATTTCATTGTGGATTTCTGATGGACTAGCAGTTTTATTTTTAGGTAAGTGTGACAGAACTGCACATTATTCATTAAAAGTTAAAGGTTATAAGATATTAAAATAAATGTCTGCTAAAATATATTCTTTCAGTTGATATTAGGAGACCTATCATCCAACTAGAGATCTTGGAGTTGTTAAGGGTAGAGTATTATTTTGAAAATGATTAATAGTCACATCCTTAATCTCTGTTAGATCTAATGTAAATCTTTTTGTATTGTTATTATTTAAAATGAAGACACAATCTAAAGTGATTTTTTTCTTTTTTCTTTGAGGATAGAATCGATCATTTTATCAGAATCAGTTATCAATTGATCACATCTTTGATTAATAAGAGTTTTAATTTGTAGATCATGTTATTTTTTGCATCTAATTTGATCATCTTATATAATACTTTGTAAATATTAATGATTATTTTTTTAACACTTTTTATATTAAAAATATTAAGAAAAGAGGGGAGAGATTCAAGTGGATACTGAATATTAAAAGCTATATTTTGAATTCTTATTAAGTCTCTTTCCACTTTTCTCCTATTGGCCAAAGATTGTTCATAATTTTTTTGAAGTGAAATTTGAATAAAATTGATTCAATTTTAGTAAAGAAAAAATAAAATTTTGATAACTTTTTTTGGTTGAGATGATCATTGCTGAGAGGAGATTCATTTGCAAGGAATTTTGGAGTTACTAATAATCATTATAGCTGATTTTATTTCCATCCAAAGTTTATTCATATTTGTATGAAAACCTTTTAGATAATCAAAATTATGCTATTTGTAATAAATGTTGGAGTATTCAGCAAAATCAATCCATTTTATTGTATCTATAAATTTAAGGAAAGGAACTTTTCTTTTAGTATTATTATTTTTAGAGTGTGCCTGGGATTCATATTTCAAATTGGAGAAATAAGCTATTATAATATAATGATTTGAATTATAAATATAAGAATGACTAGTATTACAATATAGAAAATCAGGGATTAAAATTTTAAGAAGCAAAATTAACATTAAGGTGACTCTTTGTATTAGGTCTATTGAAGGTAGTTATTGGTGTATCATGATAGATGACACATAAATCAAGAAAATTTCTAAGTTAAAGACCACGCAGTAAATCATAATACTATAGAATAGCTAATCCTGAGTCAATGATTTTCTTTAATTTAATCAAATTTGCATTAAAATCATCCATCATTACTATATAGAAATCAGATTTAAGACTGTCATCAACTAATCTAAGTAGATCTACTTGTAGCTTTTTCCTTTTCTTACAATTAAAGGCTTAGATGTAGACAGAGAAATTCTTAATTTAATATTTTCTTTAAAAAAAAGTTAACATAGATATAGTGATCGCTATTTAAGAAACATTTTGCAATATGTTTGGACTATGATTTATTAATTAAAAGCCCTACTTCTAAGAAAGGTCTGGTCACTGAACTCCAAAAGGTATTAAAATTAAGATTATTAGAACATCTAAAAGATTGGGATGGTTTATGCCAAGTTTTAGTTAAGGCTATAAAATTAGCATTTTTTTGATAAAAGTTTCTAGGATTTTGCTATTTTTGATATTATTATGTAATGAATGTATATTGTGTATAGCAAATATAAGGGTATTGTTATTGTAGACTTGTAATTTGCATTACTATTTAAATTTTCTGTTTATTGTAAAATTAAAAAGATCATATGATGAAGGTGAAGGAAAAGCATTAGGTATATTTAGAAAGAAAAAGGAAACATTATTGTTATTATTATCTTTTTTTGTTGTTTAAGAAAAGTGTATTAAAAACTTTATCATCATTTATTGTATTGATCATTTAAAATTAAAATGAGTGGATGTATTGATTTATTGCTCAATATAACTGACATCGAATATGAATTGCTCAATTTGTTTAAATATATTATCTATTTATATCTTTTAAGCTGCAATAATAGTGGCTTGTTAATTTACCACAATATTTAGATCTGGTTTAATTATCAATACTAGAATCAGAGAAGAATCATAACTAGAAGATTCAGTAATGCGAGTGTGCTTATTAGGTATATCTTTTGATAAGCAAATGTAGGATAATAGAAGGTCTAATTGGATTAATAAGATCTTTTTCTTTAATAAAGACAATCGAAGAAGGTAGAGGATATTATTGTTGAAAGAGTTTGATATGCTTCTAATTTGACAATTTTAACATCCAATTCATTCATATTCTTTTTTAAGTTTGAAAGAATATCCAAGAATTGATTAAGTTTTTTGTTGATATCATTATTGAAATTGTGAATTAAGTTATTTACAGTATTTAAATTTTTTGGAAGGGTAGTGGCTGAGCATTATTATTATTATTTTTGGTACTTTCTGAATAAAGTCTGTTATTGCTAAAAAATTTTCTAAAATCTACTGATTTATATTTGTTATAAAACTATTCATTAAATTCTGTTGTGTCAGAGACCTGAAATTGTGAAGTTTATTATTTTTCTTAATTTTATTATTTTTTGTTAAGAGTAAACATTTCATCATTAGATGTTCAGGATCTTCACATTTGTGGTAGCATCTAGTATCAGGTGAGTACTAAGTAAGTTGGTTATCACCAAAAATAAAATATTAGTAAGCTGTATAATTAAAGGCCTTTTTAGTTTCAAAATGAAGAATAATAAATGGACAAGGCTTATAGTTATTAGAATGAGAAATGTAAAAAGTCTTAGCTTTAGTTGTTAGAATAATATCATACAAATCTCTAGTAGAGGTTTCAAATGAAAGGTTGTAAGTTTGATGTAGTGAGTATTTCTATATTAACTTCATCTGTAAAGAGAGTACAAGGATTAACACAAACAGAATTATTTTGTATGAAGTGGCTTCAGACTTAGTAGAATAATTCAATGCATTGTTGTATTTAATATGTGATGTAGATATATTGTCATATTCCTTTAGCAGTCATTTTAAAGTCTATAATACTTTCATATTTTGTGAAAACTTGTTTGATAGTAGAAGGTTTCATTTGTAAAGAAATATTAGTTACATAAATAGTACATTCGTTGAATTTCATATCTTCTTTATATTGAGTATAATCAAATAAATTTTTGATCTTAAATTCTAGGATAGTCACAAGGAAAGTTGTAGTAGCCACATCTGATATAGCAAAATAGATAATTATAGAATGCGTTAAATTTATGCGATAGACTAAGACTCCTTTGAAATCATTATTGTGAACAAATATATTATTAATAGCGAGAATAATTTTGCTATTTATTTTTTTCTTTTGAAGTAAAGAAATATGACTTGTAATAACAAATAGTGTAGTTTTAATGACTATGGTAAACTCTTTTAGGTCTTTTTCCATATTATCATCTTCAATATGTTCATCAATATCTAAAATTTGTAGCAGTCTTTTGGAGAAAAGGTGTTATTGATAATATTATCCATTTGCATATTATCTTCGCTTGTTTATTTGAATAAAATATGTGAAGTAAGCTTATTAGATGTAGCAATATTAGAAATATCAAAGATTTCAAACTCTTTAGTATTGTTGAGCAAAAAACTGTACATTTGTTTGACAATTTCTTTATCTAGACTATTTGGTTATTTAGTTGAGATAGAAGACGAAAATGAGATTGAAGTAGAAATGACAGTCTCTTTTAGAGCAGAGGAAACTAGATATGGAATGGTTTTTTTTAGTTTTTTTAGCTTTATGACTCATTTTAAATTCTCTTCAATAATAAAAATTAGAAAGGGAAATGATAGAAACCTTTTTTATATTGGGTTTATTAATTATTTTTTGTTAAAACAAACTTTTAAAATTTTTATTTTTTTTAAAAAAAAATATAAACAGGTGAGAGTTTTTTCCTAATTTTTTAGCAAAAGAGAAAGATATATCAACTTCAAAATTCACAGTTTTTCAGATATATGAAAGATTTTGAAAAATCTGCAAGTTATAAAATAATATTGTAACAGAATATAAGTATATATTGTATATACAAACTTTTGCAACTAGAAATGCAACAATATCACTTTTCGTCATCTTAGTAACTAACATTTAATTAAATATCAAAAATCTGAATTCAGACAAATAATCTTAAAAGATTTAAGGTATAAGCCTTATTCCAAAAAAAAAGAATCTAAACCAATAATTAAACTTCTTGTTGATTTTATTACTGCAAATATGCAACTATTCTCTATTGTTAAGAATTCTCAATTTAAAATTTTTATCAAAAAATTTAACTCATATTATGAAGTACTATACAAACAAACCTTAAAAGTAAATTTTATATTAGAATATAATAAAAGAAGAAAGCAATTAATAGATAAAATTTCAAAATTAAGTCTAAAATATCTTTTACAACTGATAATTGAACATCAGAAATTTCAAAAGAATGCTATTTTGGTATCATCATTCATTTTATTAATAATGATTGGGAAATGAAAAAATTTTTTACTAGATTTAATACCATTTTACATGGATTACATTTAGCAGATTTAATTACAAGTAACATTTTAACAATTCTTAATGAATTTAAAATTAGTCATAAAATTATTGCTTTAACTACTGATAACAGTTCAATTATGGTGGCTTATGGTGGTCAACTAGCAGAAGAATTGAAAACAGCATTTAATAACTTTTCATTTTCACATTATAGATATGCTGCATATATAATTAATATTGCAATAAGAGCAGGAATGATCTTGATTGTAGATGAAATAAAAAATGATGTTAATATATTATAAAAATAAAAAATTCACCATTATTGCTAGGTGAATTATCTGATATGTGTAAAATTAAAAAAACCAAATTTTTGAAACCAATTTTGGATGTTGATGTAAGGTGGAATTCTACATATCTAATGATTGCATGACAAATTTTAATGCAAAGTATTTCAGAAAAACTTATACAAACAAATTATGATGATTTAAATCCTTTATTTCCTTCTATATCTGGATGCCGGTTTATAAAGGTATTTATTTTTATTTATTATATTTTAATTAATTTAATGAATTAAATTATTGTATAATTAATTATTATTGTAATTAATTTATAAGTCAATGTATGAAATAACCAACCTTCTTTAATCATCATCAAATCCATCCCAAGGAGATATTAGATTAGCGTTTGCTAAATTAAATCAATATAGAAGTATATCATCTTTATTGGATCCGTGGTATAAATGTTCAGCATTTGAAGATAATAAAGGCAAGATGCTATTAAAATATTACAAGAAATGTTTTTATCATATATACCATCAAATACACAACAAATACCTAAAACTAATACAACCTCGAGAGATTACTTTTTAAATATACTTAATAATAACAACAACATATATAATTCTAATGATTTTAATTCTCCATTTGATAGTCATACGGATCCTTTAACATGGTAGAAACTTCATCTGATACTCTCTTATATGGCTAAGGATTACAGTTGCATCTGAATGAGCCTTTTCTATTTCAGGTTTAGCAATAACCAAAATCAGAAATAGGCTAGATCCAGAAACAGCAAGAGCGATTATTTGTATGAAATATTGGGTTTCTAATGATTTAGGAAAGACGTGTGAAAAAGAATAAAAATATATTCTCGATTCTTAACGTTAATATAATAATAAAAATAAAATAAAATCATTTTATTTTGGGTAATCAATAAATTCAATAAATTCGGCTTTTGATACTTTTTTTTTGTAATGCTATTAAAAAGGATCGGAGTATATAAGATCGTCGTTAACACCCTAACCACATACGATCTGTTTTCTACTCACCAATCATAACATTCCGCATTATAAATAGTTATGGATTTAGGGGTGCAAATTCATTAAAAAACTGGATATGATTTATAATAAATTTCTCGAAAAATACTATTTTCTCTTTTATTATTTGAATCTTATTATAATTTAAATAATAACGATAATGTCCACATCAGTTCTATCATATCCCGAGGAATTATGGAGACCAAAAGATATCTCCAATTCAGAAATCGAAAAATTTCGTATCAAAGTTAATAAGAAATATCAACTTAATTTCGGTACCTAACATACTGTATCTTCAACTCATTTATTTTAATTAGGCATTGGTGTAATATATATATATATATTTAATTATAGAGAATTACCAACAATTATGGCAATGGTCAGTTGAAGACATTCAAGAATTTTGGGCAGCAGTATGGGATTATACGAAGATAATTTATTCAGTTCCTTACGAACAAGTAAGAAATTTTTGATTCAATTCATGGTTACACTATGTACAGTATTTTATATTTTATATTGAACTTATTGAACTAGGTGTTGGAAGACAAACCGATGGATCAAATACCAGCATGGTTTCTAGGGGCAAGACTCAATTTTGCAGAAAATTTATTATGGTGTAGAGATAGAAATAAAGTTGCAATAATTTCCGCAGGTTTTTATTCATCATCAAAAAATTTTTTACCCTTCCTGGCTAATTGCTTGTCTAAAATTTAAAATCTAATGATTTTTCCTTGCAACGTACTGATTAGGGGAGAGTAGACCATTAACGAACATGACATATCACGAATTATACGTGCAAGTAAACAAATTATCAAAAGCGTTACGTAAATTAGGAGTTAGCAAAGGAGATAGAGTAGGTGCATATATATCGAATTGTTGTGAGGCAGTAATAGCAATGTTAGCAACAACAAGTATAGGAGCAATTTGGAGTAGTACATCAACAGACTTTGGTGTTACAGGAGTATTAGATAGGTTTTGTCAAATTCGCCCTAAAATATTGTTTTCTGTTAATTCTATAATATATAATGAAAAAGAATACAATCATCTAGATAAATTAAAAATTGTGGTCGAAAAGTTAAAGGATGAGGGATTAGAGAAAGTTATCGTCATTCCTTTTGTAGGAAAAATTGGGGAAGAAATTAGTGATATTCCTTTAGCGTGTTCTTGGAATCATTTGATATCACAAGGAGAAAGTGAAGCATCACAAGAAGAGGAAATACAATTTGAACAACTACCATTTGACCATCCAGTTTATATACTTTTTAGTTCGGGAACGACAGGAAAACCAAAATGTTTAGTACATAGATCTGGTGGATTATTAATACAACACAAAAAAGAACATATATTACATGGTAATATGACAGAAAATGATGTTTTCTTTTATTATACTACCACTGGATGGATGATGTGGAATTGGTTAGTTTCCGGGTTAAGTGTTGGATGTAGTATTGTATTATATGATGGTAGTCCTTTTAAACCTTCTCCCGCTATTCTTTGGAAATTAACTGAACAATTAGGGTAAGCGAGCAATTTCAAGTCTTTTCCAGATACGTTAGACTATCTCATCAACTTTTTTTTTTAAAAAAAAATTCCTCCTTCACGTGCAAAAGAATAACTATATTTGGTACATCGGCAACATACATAAAAAGTTTACAAGATGTAGAATATAGGCCTAAATATCGTCACGAATTAACAAAACTTCGTATGATATTATCAACGGGATCGCCTCTTAAACCAGAAAGTTTTGATTTTGTTTATAAAGAAATTAAGGATGATTTAGTGTTAGGTAGTATTACAGGTGGTACAGATATTTGTTCTTTATTTGCTGGACACAATGTCACATTACCTGTACATAAAGGCGAAATTCAATGTATTTGTCTAGGCATGAAAGTTGAAGCTTGGAAAAGTCAAGGTTAATGTAACTTCATATCAATAATTCTTTTTTAGCTAGAGGATAACTTTTTAATTTTGCCCTCTATTTCCCTTTCTGTCCCTTTAGGTAATCCTGTGTATGCGGAATCAGCAGATTTGGTATGTACAGCGCCATTTCCATGTATGCCAATTTACTTTTGGAATGATACACCTTCACATGATCTATATCGTTCAGCATACTTTACAACTTATAACCGAGTATGGTATCACAGTGATTTCATATTTATCAATCCTAACACAGGTGGGTTAATAATGTTGGGTAGAAGTGACGGGACTCTTAATCCTGGAGGAGTAAGATTTGGTAGTGCTGAAATTTATAATGTAATAGATAAAGATTTTAGGAAAGATGGTGTGATAGATAGTTTAGTTGTTGGACAAAAAATCGGTACAAATAACAAGGAAGGGGAACGCGTTGTATTATTTTTAAAAATGGATTCAGGAAGAAAGTGTGATAAACAACTAGTTGAAAATATAAAGAAAAAAATTAGAGATCAATTAAGTCCTAGGCATGTTCCGTCATTCATCTTACCTATTGATGACATTCCGGTAAGCCTCCTTTTCTTAAAAAACAATGTTCATGATTTTCTGTCTCGTTCGTAACTTTGATTTTAATTACAAAATAACATTAACATTTTCATTTCTTTATAGTATACTGTTAATGGTAAAAAAGTTG